GAGTACAGAATGCATAAAATAAAAGATGGTGTTATCTTCAGCTTTTAGAGTTAATTGCTCATTAAAACTAGGCTTTCTTAGGAAAGAAAATATGATACAGGTCTTTCGGTTTTTGGTGAATTTTTGGGATTTCTTGGACCTAGGATGTGATGTAATTCTGTAAATCTAAAAAGCAAAAAACTTTCAGCATTTGTACTCTGAAGTCTCTGAGGAGCATGTATAATTACACATTCTGCAGCATCATCTAGGGCTTCAGAAATGTAAAAATTGAGATCTAATGTGTAGTAGGTAGAAGCTTTTTCATGTTCATATTGTCAGATGAGCAGATTTAAATGTGTAGCTACAGTCCATGGAGCTTGGAATTTCAGACATTGTTTCTGTTATCCTTTGAATAGAAACAGTCAAAGAATGGATCTGGAAGCCATAGGAATTTGACATCTGAGCAAAAAATAAGTATGTTTAGCTGCCTTATTTTTGACAAATGGTTACGATTACTTTTGTTTTTTCTAATTTTACGGAAACTCTTTTTCTTCATATAATTCTTATTTCTGTGCAGTAGTGAAGTAACATTTTTTTCCACTCCTTCTGATATTTTCACAAATGAAGTCTCTAAGACTTTTAATTTCACTAGCTTGAAGCCTTCAGCTAAATAACACTAAACCAAACCCATTTTTACACTGTTTTGTCACTGAAGTTGCCATCATTACTTCAGAAGTATGGCCACCAGAGGCACTGAGTCTTGGCTAACATATCTTCAGGTATTTATTCACCATTATAGTATTGATTCTTCCTTTCCAACAAATTGTGCCTATAGTGTTGCAGTTTTGTTTTAATGGAACAAGAAGATAGGACTTTGATTTTGAGGAGCAGAGAGGTGGGGGAAAGTGTGGGCATAGGATCAAATTGTAATGGTGTAGTGATTTTCTTCAGTAAAGTAATCAATCTCACTAACATTTTTAAAACCCATTTTCTAGACAATGTGTTGCCAGCATTGTCTTTCATCAAACCTACAGTGAGCATGGCAGCTGGGGCATTTTACTGGCTGCTGGAAAAAAAAGCTAAAGATGAGTGAAAGACCAGAAGGAATGAGTTCTGGTCTTCCTGGATAGGGCCAAAATTTACAGTGTTGGTCTATAGATGCATCTCATCCAGGAATCACACCTTGTAATTTGTTGTTCTAATCATATAAATCTGAAAAGTTTTTTTCTGCAGTCTCGTTTTAGACAAATGCATTAAATGGGCTCTAGGATCAATTTAACATTTGAATATGATGGGCTTTACTCAACATGGCATTTGTCAAGTGGGATGCCTATAATATGTGTCTAAAGGTAGATAGAACAATTTCATTTACTGAAAGTGAAAAATTGACCTGTGCTCCCTAATGCCTATTTGCATGTTCTTAACAATGCTGCTTAGCAGATAGCTTGCACCTTTTTTCTTTAAAGGAGAAGCTTTCTTGCATTTTTCACGTAGTAGGAGCATGCATGAAGTAGTTACTGTTGAATATCTCATGTGTGAGAAATTCATGTCCTCTCTTATTTTGCAGTGTATGCATATGTCTTTGTATTACCAGGCCTAGCTCCATTTAATTAACCTCACTGCTGGCAAAAAATAAAAATAAAATGTTCTCTTTAATTTTTTTTTTTCAGAGATTGGAAACATTATTTATGAAAAAAACAATTGACATACTGTAACTGTGCAAGCTTAAGTAAAGCTGTGTTTACTGGCCAGTCAGAATAACTGCAAGTATATATTGCAGTCATTGAGAGAGGAGAAAGATGTGATCACAGCTGCTCCAACATGCAGTCCTTGATGCTCTGAGGGTTATTTTGTGGTTATAATGACCGTATATAAGGGTTTCTGGTCTCGTGTTAGACTCCAATTAACCATTCCTCCTGGAGTGCTCCAACACATCCAGCTGCCTCTGCAGCACTCACTCCACTCAGTCAAATATTTCTGCATTTCACAATGTATCCAGTTTTATCCACATTATCTCCCCATTAGTTTGGGTATTGGAGATTTAAGAAGCCTGCATTAGGTATATAAATGCATCTCACAGTTCCTTGATCAACGTGCTATGTCTGTTTTAATGATGAAGCAGCATCCTGATGTGTTGTGATCAGTGTTCTGAAAGATTATAAAATGGTTTTCTATGAATCACTGGCTTTTTTCCCTTTCTTGGTCATTTATAGACTCTGTATATCTGGATTTTTAGACAAAGTATTGTTTCCAGAACAATGCATGTTTTGCTTCTGTAAAAGGAATCGGTTTTGGTGTTCTGTGGTTGTTAAGGAATTTTTGAATAATCAAAGCTTTGATTTTTTTGGCAGGTTTGGAGAAAAATTGTAGTTGGCATTTTGTGCCATAGAAGTTGAGAGTGTCAATAGTAGAGCACAAGGTGAAGAAAGTGAAATCAGCTATTAAAAATGTTTATGGTGAAGGAACCTTTTGACTTCACACCTTAGTATTGCTGATTTGGAAAGTGTTTGTGAACTTCAAGGCCTTGGTCTGCCATTTTGGGAGACAAGGAGTTAGTTGGGGGTGGAAAGACTGGAGTTTGTATTCTTTCTGCTCTGTTACCCATTGCTATCTTCATGGATCTGACACTCTGTTTATCTGACAGTGCACTCAGTACTGCTTCGCCAGGGAAAATTGCACAAAACAAGCCTAGTGCATCAGCATTTTCATTGTGTATTAAGCTGAGCCTCCCTTCACATGGTCACATCCCCTTTTTAATCTGGGATTCCATGTCCCTTTCCCAGTCCAGCCTGTTTCTGTGGCGTCTATTGCTGGTCTCCCTGAGCTTCTCTTTCTGTGGTTTGAGTGTTTTTTGTGTGGCTGAGTGTTAAGACTGCAGGACTTTTGGAAGTGGTGTTGTTGGGGGTTAGGCAGTACTTTGATTTAGTGTTAGTGGTTTGTCAGAGACTGAGGTGATGGCTGCGTTCAAGTTGGATTTCCTCCCAGAGATGATGGTGGATCATTGCTCCTTGAATGCAAGCCCCGTGTAAGTATTTTCTCTTCATGTCTAAGTTATAACTAAAATGATAGCTGGAATTGCTGTCTCAAGCCCCTGCTGTCTTTTGGGACAGGAAGGAGAGACAGGACAGCCTGCAGTTTGTTTTCTAGAAGAAATCCTAGTGGTCATGGAAGATTGATGTTGGTTTTGAAATGGGGGAAAATGGTCTTATAATAGTGGCGATGACTAAGGAGGAATAAAGCTGTTTGATGATATTGTTTATAGTATGCTACAGGTGCTGATATTATAAAATGGATTGTTGAAATTGCTTGTGGGAAGAACTGTTTCTGTTCTTCCCTATTAATGAGTCCAGACTAAACCTTTTAATTAGGAGTAAAAATATTCCTTGAATACTGTTGAGGTCATATAAAGAGTTTCCCAGTTAACAGGAGCCGTGTTGTGCCCTTCAAGCTACCCATGGAAGGCAGGGCTGAAAATTATGCTGAAAATTATTATTGGAGAGGGTAAACAATTTCCAATTGTTCTTAACTGAAATGAAAAGAGGCAGTTTACATGTTTGCAAAGGGTGTTGTTTCCCTTGGCTATTTGGAAAGGTACTGACCCTTTCTGAGTGGAAAGGTGGAGAGGAGTGAAAGGATTTATGATGATTCTCTTCCCTTCTAGTAAGAAGCTTTGTTGTTTTTGAGGTCTGTTCATACAGCTATAAAATTATGAACTTTCCCTAACATCACTTTTTCCTTAGGCTCTGAACAGCAGTGTATTGATGGGAAAAAGTACTAAACAGTACTGGGCTTGGATTTTTTAGAAATTCTTTTCAGGGGGGAGTGCAATTTCAGATGGACAGTGAGGAATACTGTTTATGCATGTGCAGTTAATAAGCCATTCAAACTGTCTTCAAAGGAACAAAGCAAAGATGAAGAGGACTGCTCTGGAAGAAGACCACCTTCAGCAAATTGTTTTTGGGGGGGGGGGTGGTGGCGGCGGTAGAATCATTGTATAGTTGCTGTTCCACTCCCCATGTCCTTTCTAGATTATGCAGGGATTGGTCAGCAATTTTAACCAACTAATCACTATAGCTACAGTAGGGTGTCGTTACAGTCAGACGAGGTGCTCTGGTGTACCAGGCTGGGAGTACTGATAACAGACATCACACTGCACCTAACAAATAATGAGGAGTCAATAGAGGGAGCAGTGTAGGACTTGTCAACTGGCTGGGTGGAGCATAACACAACTTTTATTAATAGGGTGTAAACTGCTCATATGGCTAGACAGAATGCCTTGGAACCTATTGAGGATTCTCATACTCAAAACTTAGGTGTTGTTGTAGTCTGACTTTTTTTTCTGTGTTAGAATCCTGCCAATATTGAACCTGATTCAGTCTGTGATTGGATTGTCTAATCCCAGCCTTTTCATGTACTATTTAAGCCTGTTTTTTTGCCAATTATTGTTGAAATCCCCCTAGTTTCACAAAGAGGTATTGCCTTGTAAACCTTTAAATAAACTTACCATTGAATCAGTTTATTCTGTTTCTCTGTTTTAAGATGGATCTTCACCCTGGGAAACAGTTACAATTACTCTCATTTAAAAATGTAGTAATTACATTCTCTTATTATTGGTGGTTACTGATAACTTGGGTAGATTATAGGTAGACCGAGCATAGGTTCCTTTCAGTTCTGGTTTCTTTTTCTGTAAAATTTTACATGGCTGAACTAGTGTTATTTTTCAGTTATCTCAGCAGATTTATATCTTGAATCTCAGATGTTGACTACATTATGGGAGCAGAGTTTTAAACAGCTGTGGTAGAGTGTGTTTCATTTCCAAGTGCATAGCTTGCCAGTAAATGTGAATGTACTCTGGTATGCATATTGGGAATGGGCAAGAGTTCCTTTTTATATGTATATTTTCATCATACACATTTATATGTGTGTGGAAAATTCATTTTTCTTTAATTTTGCCATAGGCATGCTTTTGTTTAGAATTTGTAGGAAGATGTGAACCAGAAATTCCTTTTTGTTTTTCTTAGTGCAAAGAAAATGAATGGCACACTGGATCACCCAGACCAACCTGATCTAGATGCTATCAAAATGTTTGTGGGTCAAGTCCCACGGAGCTGGTGTGAGAAGGATCTAAGAGAACTTTTCGAACAGTATGGTGCTGTCTATGAAATCAATGTCTTGCGGGACAGGAGCCAAAACCCTCCTCAAAGCAAAGGTGAGAACTTCTGTACTTCTGTTGTGAGACTGGAGGTTTCAGCCAGTTTCACATAGTTGCTGTCTTAGCTGTGTGCTTATTCAAACAGCCCTGTAGGAGCTCTGTGTGACCAGGTGTGCATGCAAGCCCAGACTTTATAAAGTCTTTAAGTGTGTTTGTCTAATCATACTTGAACTGTGATTCAATCATTAGCTGAGCTCAGAAAAATCATAATTTTTTTTAGAGCTCAGCAGCGATAGAGGTGCTTGCGGAGTATGAATTACAATTGCAAAGCAGAACATCCAATAATACTGTGTTGCTCCAGAGCATCACTGTGATGCTGTGATATGATCAAAATGTGGCTGCATGGGGACACAGTTTCAGATAAATATGAAATTGGGGTTTTAGTAGTTTGTGTTAATCTCATACTTGCAAACATGAAATTCTTACTAAATTTTGTGCCTGGATTTGCAGTTCAGTTACATGCGATATTTCCTGTGAAGGTAGGTAGGGTTTTGGTACAAGAAAATAATTGAGTTTGAAAATGAAGTTTCCAACAGATGTATCTAAGTGTTTGTTTTAATAGTGTAGTGGGGACGTTGGGATCTTTTCTGACTAACATTTTGTTTCAATTGCAGGGTGCTGTTTTGTTACATTTTATACCCGTAAAGCTGCACTAGAAGCACAGAATGCTCTTCACAACATGAAGATCCTCCCAGGGGTAAGAGCAGAGCCCTGCTTTCTTCACAACTGTCTTGTTTCTCTGAGCTCCAGCACCACTGAAGCACAAACACATTATGTTGCCCTAAAATAATGTTGTAAGAAACTATTCAAAAGATCAGTGTTATGAGATGTATATCATAACAGATCTTATGGGAATTTTGGAGTATTTCAAAAAATGATATGGCAGGGAAGTGGGTGGGAATGGTTTTTATAATACTCTGAGGAGGAATGATGGCATATAATTAGGAAAGCCTTTTCTTGGAATTTTTGTAGTGTTACATATGCACCTCTCTTGAGGCAATTTAGGCTATAATTTCTTTCACAATTCTTATGGGATGTATTTCATATAATATGAAGTGGATGTATCTGGGATTAAATAATCTTTTTTACATTTCAGATGCACCATCCTATCCAGATGAAACCAGCTGACAGTGAAAAGAGTAATGGTAAGCTTTATTAAAGTCCCAGTTTGGTGTCATCATTTGTGCTAGTCAGGAAGCTTGAGGATTTCCCTTTTGCTAAACAGCTTTTGATGAAGTCTTTAATTGGAGGCCTGGTTTTCTAAAAGAAAAAAAAAGTGAAAGCAGAAAGGTGTGTTTTCAATAATAGGTAGTGTGAGTGGTGTCTCTCAAATTCCATGACTCAGAGTATCTCTCCCACTGCTGCTTGTGGTAGAACCATGTTGTCAGTTAGGGAAACATCCAGTGAGTTCTTCTTTGTACTAAGGTAGTTTAAATCTTTGTTGGGGACATGGACAGTGGGATTGAATGCATCCTCAGCAAGCTTATGGGTGATGTCAAGCTGAGTACTGTGGTTGGTACCCCAGGGGGAAAGTCCAGAGGAACCTTGACAGACTGAAGAGGTGGGCCTATGCTGACCTCATGAAGTTCAGCAAGGCCAAGGTGCTGCAAACATGGATGAGTGATGAGTGGATTGAAAGCAGCCCTGAGAAGGACTTGGTGGCTGAAAAAATTAATATAAACAGGCAGTGTGCACTTGCAGCCCAGGAAGCCAGTCACATGCTGGGCTGTATCTAAAGGGGGCATAACATGTTGAGGGGGTGAGTGTCCCTCTGCTGTTGTAAGACCCCATCTATTGTACTGCATCCAGCTGTGAGGCCCCCAGCATAAGACATGGACCTGGGAAGCATATTCAGGGAAGGGCCATCAAGATAATCATAGGGATGGATACCTCCCCTATGACAACAGGCTGAGGGAGTTGGGGTTGTTCTGCCTGGAAAAGAGAAGGCTCCAGGGAGACCTTCTAGCAGTCTTACAGTACCTGAAGGGAGCCTACAAGGAGGATGTGGAGGGATTGTTTATCTAGGAGTATAGTGATAGCACAAGGGATAACAGTATTAAACTGAAAAATATTTAGATTGGATTTTACGAAGAAATTCTTTACTGTGAGGATGGTGAGACACTGGAACACATTACCCAGAGGAACTGTGGGTGCCCCGTCCTTGGCACTGTTCAGGACCTGTCTGGATGGGGCTTTAAGCAGCCTGGTCCAGTCAAAGGAACTAGGTGATCTTTAAGGTCCTCTCTGCACCAATCTATTCTGTGATTTTATGAAATCTAGAAATGCTTTTTCAAGTTTTTGTCCAATGTCCCTGTTGCAGCTAGGGTGGGAGTCAAAAATACTTTTTGTAGCATACAAGAGAGGTTGAGAATTAACAGCAGTTCAGTAGAGAAGAAAAACTGAATATTTCTGCATGTTGGCCATTTCAGATGGATTAAGAATTTGTCATCTACCACTGGGTAAATGATAATTTATCCATGCATTTCGTTATGAGAAATGCCTTTCCTTTATGTACATAACACACATGCATGTTCAAATACGTATGTGTCTGTATTGCTGCAACCTAAGCAAAGAAAGCATTTAGCATCCTGTAGTTTCAGCCTTTCTAGGCTCAGCTGAATTTTATTTTCTTCATTTGCAGTAGTTTGTGCTGCAAACGCAAGATAGTCCTGGTTTGAGAAAGCTTACCCCTTAATATAACAGAAAATAGTCCTGGTTTGAGAAAGCTTACCCCTTAATATAACAGAAAATAGAAGATGGAATGTATGGGTAACATACAGTAGGAGTAATTCCATCTGCAGATTCCTCCATGTGTATATAGGACATGTTCCTGTGTAAATATATCTAGAAAGGAGTCATTCTTTTGAAGTATTTTTGGGAGGAGAACAGAATAGGTTCTCTAAACTAAAACTGACCTTGCATTACATAGAAACACACATAGAAATATCCTGGGAAAATAATGGAAAGTTTAAAAAGTATTCAATGGAATTTTAGGATGTTATTTTTGAGGCTATTATTTAACTCTGAGTGTTAATAAAAAGTGAAGGTGACAACAATAAATAAGAAAACATTAGTTTTGAGAGTATTTGAACTTGCCACCAAAACAAGGGATTCCGGATCTCTTGAACTAAAATGGTCCACTAAAAGGATTTGAAAGCAGCTTTCTGCTCTAAGACCAGAAATTGAATTATGTACAACATTAAGATTTAATGTCCAGTTAAAGTCATGTCTGCGGAATAGTTTGGTGTTTTTCTTTCCAGCATCATAGAATACTCAACAAATAAGTTGATTTCCCCTCACTATAGCATTGAATAGGAGAAGACTTTTTTGAAGCATCAAAATGTGGTAGAGTTTTCATTGTTTTATATTGTGATGAATATTGTATAACTGTTTTATATTTTCAAGTGATATTGTGAATAATTCACTTCATCCTGTAAAAGAAAGTGTTTCAGAGGTGATCAGCATCCTTAAATAAGTAAATCGAGAGCATAAAAATCTGTTCTGAATTTAGATTTACCCAACTCATTCAGGTGACCTTTAGCTGACATTAGTAACAAGTAACTGAAAAGTTACGGGAAATGCCTTTCTGAGCCGTTTATTTTAAAAGGGTCTACACTCTGAAAGGTATTCTTCAACTCTAATGTGTCTAATAGCATCAGTATTTAGAGCCAGCACACAGCCCGTGGTTTGATTTGAGGAGTTATTTTTGTGCTTTTGGTGCAGATCAGAATGGGCGTATCACTAACAGAAGTACAAGTGTTCAGTTTTAGCAACTGCTGTTGCTTCCACTGTTGAGAGAGGGGCATGAGGATATGGGCATATCTAATTTAGGTGATTGGCATGAGGCTAAAACGACACTTTCTGCAGTTTACTTGCTTGTTTATATGCATTTAGGTGTATATTGGTAGTCTAAATCTAGAATAAGCAGAGGAAAGACAATGGAAGTAGTCCAATAAACCACATTCAAGCCTTCTCTCAGCTAGAACTGAAGAGATACAGGGAAGTGCTGAATTTGACATACTTTTTTCCTTTTTTTTACATTCCTGTTGTTCACAGACTTTACAGGCTAAAAATAGTCAGCAAAACATAAACATAAAATCATAAAACAGACATCTGTCAGGTTCATTGAAACACCTCATATGCATCCTCTTAAACTGAAGATGCAGTCCATTACTGGGAATCTGGTTTTGATAAGCCCATATCCTAAATACAAGGGAAATAACTGCAGTTAACAGAGAAGACCTAAGATCTAGTAAACACATATTTGCTGTTAATACTCTTTATCTTTTGATTCCTTAGCAGTAGAAGATAGGAAGTTGTTTATTGGAATGATATCCAAGAAGTGCAATGAAAATGACATTCGAGTGATGTTCTCCCCCTTTGGGCAGATTGAAGAATGCAGGATATTACGGGGCCCGGATGGCCTGAGCCGAGGTAAGCAATGCAAGAAGCTTTCTTGGCAGTTTGAGGATGCTGGATGCTGCCTTTTGCAACTCAACCTGGCATTTGAGCTTGTTTTGTGATTCCCACCTACACCGCCTCCCTGCCCAGTAAGCATTTTCTTTCCTGTATTCATCTCAATAATTGTGGAGGTAGTGAACAACTTGATTCTTTTTTGTTCTTTCCCCAGGTTGTGCATTTGTGACTTTTACAACAAGAGCCATGGCACAAACAGCAATCAAAGCAATGCACCAAGCACAAACCATGGAGGTAAAACAAGTTAGTGGGTGTCAGGAGCAGATGTAATTGTCAGGCAGTCACTATGGAGTTTCAGGGACTAGAGAGCAGAGAGAAGGACAAGTGCAGTTGTGTGTTTCTTCACAAAAACTGCTCCTGGACCCTTGTGTTTGTTTTGTTCTATTTTTAAATTAGTTGGAGATTTAAACTTTATCTGCAGAGAAAATACCAAAATACAAAATAGAATTAAAAGCAAACAAGATTTTGAGCCTTTGATGAAATGTTCTGTTTGGAAAAAAAAAAATATGTCTGTATGTATGCATAGAGGAGGAGAGAAATGATTCCAATGACTGGGACTTAATTCAGTATTTTTGTGACTGCTGGGGATAGCAAGTATGTAATTGTTTGAATTGCTGTTTGCAGGGTTGCTCTTCTCCCATTGTTGTAAAATTTGCAGACACGCAGAAGGACAAAGAGCAGAAACGAATTGCTCAGCAGCTTCAGCAACAAATGCAACAGATCAGTGCTGCCTCAATATGGGGAAACCTGGCTGGTCTCAACACACTTGGACCCCAGTACTTAGCAGTGAGTTTCTGATTTGGGTTCTTTTCATCTCTTCAGGGATTGGAGTGTCTGGCTGTCTTGCAGTGTTTAATATATTCATTGTAGAAGGCTCCTGGAAGACAGGAGCTGCGTACTAAATCCCCATTTCGTGGATGAGAAGGCTGAAATAATGTTATGTGCTCTCATCTAGTTGGGGTACTTTTATAGGAGCATTTCAACCCCAGTCACAGTAGCCCTAATTACTGAAACCTTGGGTTTTTCTCCTGTATTCTGTAGAATGTGCTTTTTCTTTATATAGTACTGCCTCAACATTTACCTTATAAATGCCCTTTTCATGTCTGATAGTTCTTGTATTCCTTTATCATTTTCCTTTATTTCTGTCATCCTCTTCCAGTGAAACCTGGAACAGTACGTGGTACTGTCCAGATAGAAAGGATGATCAGATTGGAAGCAAAGTAAATAAACCCAAGCAACAACCAACCAAATAAAAGCAAACCCTACAGAAAACAGAGAGAAGCCATTCTGTTTAGCAAAAATTATATAACAGAGGGTAGACTGCAGTGTCATTTCAGTTGATTTTACTGGGTTCCTAAAGGATGAACTTTTCAAAAACTGATGTGCCGTGACTCGTGAGAGTTGCCAGAGTAGCTCTGACAACTGTATTCATGTAATACTAAGTCTGAGGAACACAAAAGGAAAATTTAATCTCATTCTTGGTATGATGTATAGTTGAAATGGGACAATTATCTTACTACTTTTTTAGTTTTAGTAGATTGGAATTTTTTTAATAACAGCTAGTTAATAGAAGAAGGATTTGGAAATCTCTAAAAACCTTCTGAGCTGAAGCTTGAAGTGTCTTTTATGTCTGCTGTGCATAAGGAGAGTAGAGGAGGTTCCCTCTCCTGGTGGCTCTTTGGTTTTGGTATGGCATTGCCATTTGTCCCATGCTGGCAGTGTCAGCTGTACAGTCTGTTTTGAGGTAGCATATCCTTAGGTGTGGCAATCCTGCCTTAGGTGCTTTGAATAGGAATTCTCTGTCACTACTGATTCTGCTGGTTTTGTCTTGGTGTGTTGGCTATAATTTTCCCTCAGCATTGCTGATGTTGAGTGAGGAAAGCATTGTGCTGTTGCTTTGGCTGCAAAGTGCTGCATGGGCTACATGGAGCTTCACTGTGGTAGTGCTCTGGCTGTGTTGTTCAGGGAATTCTCTTTACGCTTTGCTGTGGTGTGGTGCATGGGCTGCAGGAATTCATTTGTGACGGCGCTCTGGCTGTGGTGTGATGCAGTTTCTCCCAGAAGCAGAGCCAGCCCTCACTCTCACTCTTGTTTTGTTTTTTGGTGTAATGTCTAGCTTTATTTGCAGCTCCTTCAGCAGACAGCAGCTGCTTCATCTGGGAACCTGAACACACTGAGCAGCCTCCACCCAATGGGAGGTGAGTTTTCTTCCACCAGAAGACAAATTCAGGGCCAAACAAAAGAGAACAAGGGTAGACAAAGTAGCCAAAAGCTGTAGGCATTTTAATCTCATTTGAAATAAGTAGTCCTGTTTGCCTACTCCTTTGAAATGACAGGAATTCTCTGCTACAAGCGTGGATGTTCCTTCTTAATCTTACTTAACTGTTGCCCCCAAGGTAAGTGGTGGTATCTCTCCAACCTCTGGCATTTAAAATTGTCTTTACCTTATGGGTAGCAAAAAGAATGCTCTCTGTATTTGTTTTCATCCAAAAAGGTGCATATGTGAAGAACTGTGATTTTTAAATAGGCACTCACTAATGCACATGTTTTCAGTGATTCTGGATTCTTAGTTTTCCCATTTTCAATACATTTAAGAAAAAAGCATTTAAGTTGGAAGTACATTGTTGTTAGGAATGTAAGCTAGTGCTTCATTCAGATTCTTTTATTCATTCATTTGAATTACAGTTCATTATGCCATTACTGTTATGGAAAATCAGCTTCATAGATAAGAGCCAAATTCCTTGCTGTGGACTGCTGGTCAGAATATTCACTGAGTATAGCAGTCCTGGAGGTGTAAATTGGCTGTCCCTTTTGTCTTCACACAGTTGGGAATAATAAAATACATGCTAGCAACTCCATTCAGCACATTCTCTAAATTCTTCTGCTGGCAGAGAAATCTATAGTTTTGATTTTAATACTGAAGACTTTTAACTTTTCAAATTGCCTCCTGGAGTTTAGTGGTAGTTGCCAATATCACGTGCCCTTTCTGTGCAGAAGTTCATCCAAAGTGTCTTTGTAGATCTGACTTCTGTTGGCTTGTGCGCCCATCAGTAACAATTACAAGTGTTTGCAAAGTGTTATATTTTCATTTGTAAGAATTTTGGTTTACACTGGAAGTTGATTCCAAATTCAGCTTGCTACATTGATTTCTTTCATGTTAGACCTCTTCAGAGCTCTTAGATGTAAGCCTCATGCAAAAACCAACTTTTTTTAAAAAACCATTTCACTAATATCATGTGTGGGGGTGATCTATAAATTATTTTGTTGTACACATGATCCTGCCTTTCCTGCTTCTTGTGTCTGCTTAAAAACAAGATGTAATAAAGAAGAAAGTACAGCAGTAAGGACTGGGGCAGAGGGAAGGGGATAGCTATCTGAGATTGAGAAGTTTCCAGGGTAATTCTTTCTTCACTATTGAAAAACAAAACAAAACAACACAACAAAAACCAAACAAACAAACAAACCACCACACCTTAAAAACTGAAAATCCAGACATATAAATAGTATGTTGCATCTCTGTTCATGATTCCCTACCAAAAAAGTTGTAGTTTTAAGGTCTTGATAATATCTCAGCTGATGTCCTTTCTTGAAATTCATAGAAAGAAAAATTAAGTAGGTTATTAGATCCCACACTTGATTAGACTTTGCAGACAGAATTTAATCTCGACGCTGTTTGAAAGCAGACGGGGAAACAGTATGATGACAAGAGGACAGGTGCAGTGTGCACATGACAAACTGCTTCAGTAAGGAACAAGCTGCTCTGTTCTTCATTAGCTCCAACACTTGCACTTTTAACCCTCTGTAGCACAATAAAGGCAAAGTAGAAAACTTCTTGATTTTAATTCATGCTTTTATGTTACAATGGAATCTTGAGAATCTAAATAAAGGCAGAATTCACTTGTTTTGGGAATTATATTTGCCAAAGGAAACACATCCTGCCACAAACAGAAAACAATTGAAAAAGAGTTTTAAAAACCAAACAAACTATACTAAAGGTATTAGAAGTACTTTAGAAAATAATTTGTTTATAATGCATTGTCACATTCTTATGTTGTCTGTTTGCTGCTTAAATTACACAACTGAGGTTTTAATTATTTGAGATGTGTCTTTTGCTCCCAAGGTCTTACTGAGTATCCAAAGGATGAGATACCACCTCTGCTTAGGATGTTCTGATGTTTTTAAATGAAGGGTGATTAATTTAGTTTTGTTTCTGATTATGTTGGGAATAAGTATTAGGGATTGTCTGAAGTCAGATGATGAGAGGAGGAATTGTTTAAACAATCAAAGTTAGAGACAAAAAAATGGAAAATAAGGAAAAAGTGAAGGGAGGCAGAATTGGAAGAATGGAGCTAGTCTACCAAAGGATGGTTAAAATTCAGAAGGAGATCCATTCTAATGGATCCTCTGGCAGAAAAAAGGGCAAAATACAGTCAGTACTGACCAAATGGTTTCATTCCAAAACGGTGGCTCAAAATGAAGGTGTGTCAGATGAATAAATTGACCAGTAAAATTCATAAACACAGGGGTCCCTTCCTCCCCCTGCAGTATTCCTTGCTACCAACACACAGCATGCCTGAGGTTTCCTGTTTTCCTTTCCAGTGGGTTTGACCAGCCTACACATACATTGGTTGATCCTGTGGTCACAAGTTGCCACTTAACAACTGTCTCACAATTGACTGTTGCTTCTTGCCAGGGCTACTAAACAAAACATGCTGATTCTCATCTGATGGTGGGTTGAAGCCATGACTTTGTGGCCTCTGTGGTGTGAGGCCTTCATGAAAGAATTTTTCAGTTACTGCTGTCCACATACAAAGAGTGGGGAGGACACGAGAGTGGGAGAAGTTGTTGGCCTGGTGTCTGGGCAAGTTCTGTAGCTTGCACATGAGCTCTCAGACCCTGGCTTCACTCCTGTGTTTTGTTGACTGGAAAGAACACTGCTCGAAAATTTCTGTCCTTTGGAGTCTCCATCTGGCATAATGACTACCTGGCCTTTCTCAGAATCACATCTATCTGGGCAAAGAAAAATATTTTCAATTATAGCAAGGAACTGCACTGTAGAAAAGATCAGTAACTAGCATTAAGCCTGTTGCTTTTAAGCTCCTTCCCGTTGGTCCCTCATGATGAGTTTGCTGTTTGTGTTACACGTGGGTGACGTGTCTGTGACAGGAGACACTGGGCATTCCTCCCTGTGTTGCAGGACTGAACGCGATGCAGTTACAGAACCTGGCCGCCTTGGCAGCTGCGGCCAGCGCGGCTCAGAACACACCGAGCGGCACCGCTGCGCTCACCTCCTCCAGCAGCCCCCTGAGCGTGCTCACCAGCTCAGGTAAGAGACTGCCCCTGCTGTAGCCTGACTGCATTGCCCTGGAAGTCCTTTCAGGATAGATGTCACCTGTTTTGTCTATCCCTTTTTGTCACTTTAATGTTGATTTTTAATAAACAGTTTACTAGTGGATTCACCGGCCTCTGTTTAGGATAGATATCTTTGCCACTAGCAAAAGCTTTTTTGCCTGCTGTGTCTCTTCCTCCAAATGGTCAGATTAATTTAGAGTAAAAAGGATTTTTGAGGTCATCATGAAGCAGAAAGATAGGTGACCTCCTTCAAGTCATATTATTACAATCTCATCATATACTTGGTTTATCTGTGATTTTGGGCAGGTACTGGTAAATACACCCTGTTACTCTCAATATGGAAAGAGAAAATGCCTTTAGCGTGAGGTAATGCGTTCTGTGCACTAGAACAGTACAGTTTATATTCCATTGATGAAGAGAAGGATATTATAACTTTCTCATAAAAGTAGAATAAACAGACACCTAGCACTTCACTGGAAAGTAGTTGTCTAGAATTTAGTGTGTGAGTTGCACATAAAAATCAGTATCTTCTTTTAGCGTGGCTTTTTTGTGTTTTGTTTTTTCTTGAGTTGGGTTTTTTAAACTTTAGGTTATGTACAATGACAAGAGATACTAGAATGTTCAAGTAGTGTTCTTTTGCTGCCTTGTTGTTAAATGTGATCATTAAATGCAACAAGCAAAAAACTAAAAATAAATTCAATTGTGCTTATGAGAGACATACTAAGTTTTTATCACAAAGGAGGATCGGTATTCTGCTCAGTTATTTCTATCCTATTTTGAGTCATTACTAAATCCTGGCATAAGAAGGGAGACACCCTGTATTTTCAGAGTGTCAGTTTTCCAGCATCTCTGGCTTCTATCCTAGAGAGTTCACATCCTCACCTGTGATTGTGAGAGACCAAAGAGAGTTGGAGGGAGGGGGTTTTAAATTTCCACAGGTAGATTTTGAGTTGCGTAGGAGGACCAAGGAGCCAGGCTAAGAGATTATAAAGAGATTACAAGGAAAAGCTGTTTAGAAAACCTTCTGTCACATGATTGGGAGTTAAACCATGGGTGCTTTGCACAGTTTTCTACTTAAAGAAATTCCCAAGAAATAATTAGTCCAAAGAGTGTTCACTCAACACTCAAAGATTTTTGTTCTCTCAACACTCAAAGAGTGTTCACTCAAAGAGTGCAGGACATTTTTTACATAAAATCTTCATGGTCTGCAATCCTTAAAAGATTGAAATTTTAAAATTTATCTTGACTCATAGCTATGTATCCTATTCTATAATTAAAAAACAAAAGAAAGCAAACAAAAAACTATGAAGAGTTCAGACTACAGAAGGGCTGTATTCATAACCAACTAATGCTTCTTCATCATAAAGGAAGCATGAAGGTCAATATGTCTGACAGTTTCTCCTATATTTCCTCATGCTTTGTCAGGTTACAATTTGTTGAGATTGGCATTTAAAACTAAGATTTCCTTATTGGCTGTCTTGTCTGATGATTGCAGTAAGTTTATTCTCTGTTTTGTTGAGGTGGAGAAGGGCTGGCAGGTTGTGAAGTTCAAATGTGAGATGTACTAGAAAAAGCAGAGACAGCCCCTTCTCAGAAGTGTGAAGTGAAAAGACAAGGACAATGGACACAAGTTGCAGCCAAGAAAATTCTGATTAGATAGAAAAATAAAATTATTGGCAAGAGTGTTCAAGCTCAGGAACAGGGTGCCAGAGGGGCTGTGAAATCTCCATCATTTCAGAGACTGAGAATTCAGTTGGAAAGGACATTTTCAAATTCAGAGGTTAGATCAGCTCTGAGCAGACTGTTTGGATAATCTACAGAGGTTCCTTTCAAATGAAGTTATGCTACTATTCAGTGATTCTTTGGAGTTTGCTTCCCCTCTGTGAATTTTGGCTGTTCCACAGAACTATGCAGGTTCCTTTTTCCTTGATGAGAGACATATTTCAGGATTCTGTTCCATTTTTTATCACGCTTTTGGAGGGGCTCAGGGATGGGAAGTAGCCCATTTTCCAGTACTTTCTGTGCTCAATTCAAATAACCTTCTGATCATCAGTCATATCACTAAATGGTTGTGTTTCAACAATTCACGGTGGATCATTTGTATTAATATCCTATACAAATTTATCAATTAACTTTTCACAGGCCTGTAACATGAAGCAGGCACTATTGTATTGCTCTTTAAACCTAATTTCAAATATCATTTTAAACAGTAAAAATTAGCTTTGTTCAAAAGAAATAAAAAGTTTTGGAGGGCATGTTGTCTATAAGTAGTCACTGACATCAAATTCTGAAGTAGTTCTAGTGCTTTTTGTTAGAGGTATAAATATGCTTCACCTTCTAGAACTACACTCAAACTAGGATGAGGGGAAGCCTCAGTGTGTACAGACACATTCAATACCGTGATACTTCCTGTAATTATACAGCTTTTTGACTCTTTAGTCTTCAAGTAAACTTGAGATTCTGTTTTGATTAATATTCGTAAGTGCATTCACTCTGTATATGTTCACATAGAAGGCTGTTGGGCTCCACACAGAAAACATCTATCCCTCCTGAACCACACCCAGACCTTGAAGAAATTCAGTATATAGCAGTTCAGTACCATGTGTTAGTAAGTGCCTGCCTTGTATGAGGGACATATGGCAACATCTTCTGTGATAACCTCTTAAACCTAACTGCAGATGAGATGACTAACTCCTTGACTTCTCTCCATCTGTCATCCAAATGTTCACCTGATGCTTATTTGGACATCTCTGCTCAAATTGCATAATTGGTGGAAAAATCCAGTCAGTCCTTCTGCATAGTTGTCTTCTTGATTTTCTTTCACCTGCACTGATATTATTTGTATCTGGGGAGCTTGGAAGTCTACACAGTGCAGTCCATGGACTTATGGATGGGTTACATGTTGGAATGGTGGAACACAGAGGGATTAAGTATTGTTGTGCTGCCTTCCTACCCATTTCAGACAATTTTCTTTAGATCATTCCAAGCACTATCCAAGCTGTATATTTTGAATGGGGTGAAGTAAAACCTTCAGCCTTGCTGAAGATCAGCTCTGGAACTGAACAGTCTGCTGCTGTTATGTAGTGGTCATTGCAGAGACCATGGCTGTAAATAAACTCAAACTGGTAGCTTGTGAAAGGAACATCCAAGGAAGTACTATAGAAGTATCTCAGATTAGGAGTGTCTTGTCTGCCATCTTTTTGACTTGAGCACCAATAAGAATTATCTACTTCAGAGGAAAATAGAATGGTTGCAAACACTAAGGTTTCAGTTTCTCTTCCTTCCAAAGGCAACCTCAAAGCTTAGATGATTTTCCTGGCCTTGATGTGTCAACAACAAAATTGTTTTCAGAGATAGCAGAATATTTCTGGTTTTACTGGAACTAATTCAGGTACAGTTCAGTCAGATTTGTCACCTGAATTTAACTTTTCTTTAGGTCATTGCTCGGATGCTACATGACTAAATTAGGACAGACTTAGTGTTCTCTGGGTTCACCTATCTCCACAAGTTGCTACTTGATGCCCTTGTCTGAGTTTCATTTTCTTTCTAATAATATGTCTTTCAGTATCTTTCTACAAAGCTGTTCTTTATTACATATTCAAATTTTCTTAAAACCTTCTTAAGCATTTTCAGCTACTTCTCTTAGAGTTCACCTTTTTTACTAGATATAACTCAGTATGTAGATTTAAGAAAACATAACCTTAGTAGCAAGAAAAAATCCCAACAACGCACCAAAAACTGCCCAGAAACAACATTAAGAATTAGGGATAAAGAACATGTATAAAACAATATGGATTTCCCATTCCCGTTGCTTTGTTCTCTTTTCTGATCTAAAAAATAACACAAGAAAAACAGGAGAACAGAAATTATGACTAGAACAGGGAAACTCCTTTGCTATTAGGAATAGTGTAAAAAATAGAAGACTGACATGTGAGAAGGATATGATTACAGCTTACAAATACATTATTGTTGTGATGAAAATGAATAGGGAAAAAACAGACATTAGATATTTCAAGAACAGAATTGCAGGATATCAGGTCAAGTTGTCACCTGATCATTTAAAAATAAAAATCAGATTTTTCTTAGCAGAGTGCATTATTAAATTGCAGAAATTGTGCCCTAGAACTTAGTAGAGTCCAACAATTTGGTTTTCACCAATTAAATTAATGAATGAAAATTGTAACTTTGTAATAAAGACATTGCCTTTGGCTGAAAAAATCCTACATTCACAGATGGCTCTGTTGGTATATAGGCTATACACAGGAAGCATTCCTTTGTAATTGCCCTGTATTTCTGCTCTACTGTTACTTATCTACCTTTTGTCATCATCAGAAATGGGATGCTATCTTCAATTGCTATGTACACAGGATAAAGAAAATACAGACAAGTCTTTAGTTTTCTCGGCATTTTCAGTACTAAAGCATTTCTTGTTTTGCCTAAAGAAATTTCTGATAAAGGCAGCTAAACTAAAAAAATTGTGTGAGAGGCTTTTTATAGTGGTTTAACTTAACTTATTTAAAATCACAGTCTTTTAAAGTAGGGAAAGTATCCTTTTTCCCTCTCACTTTGTTCTCTAGCCATTTTTAACTTAGCTGCTGCTATTTTATTTGGGATGGGTTTGGAAGGGTTTTTAAATGGTGTTCTCATCTGTCAAATATAGTGTCTATTTGAAATGTTGCAGAAACAAGTGGTATTATAAAATCCAGGTAACTATATGATTTCTGAACTCTGTTTTTTATTCAGCCAGCTGTGCTAATTTTTCTACCGGCTTGAGGGTTATACTGTAACTTGTTCCCTGTGTTTTCCCAACATTTAATATGCTACTGATAATAAGACAGGAAGTGTCTCCTTTTCATCAGAGTAAGCATCTTAAAATAGTTTGGGACATTGACTTTCAGTTTTTGATTTATTAGAACAGTTTGTCTTAACGTGTACTAGAGGAGGTTTGTCAATCCAACTGTTATTACAAAAAGTGGTGTGAAGTGCAGTTCTGCTTCTCAAGCAGCTTTAGTTAGGTACAGCTACTTTAGTTAGGGGGGTTGCTAGGCTGTACTCCATTCAAATAGTTCCAATATCCCACCGCAGCAGACACTTTATGTCACAAAGATGAAATGGTAAATATTAAGTGTGTGTGAAACTACTTGAAAGATGCTGACAATTCTTTTAAAAGTTTTAATGGATGTATGCAGCATAATTGAGAATCACCAAAACATGAGGAAAATAGGAAATGCCTCAAATTCAATTCTTCTCTTACCTCCTTGGTCAAACTGTTAAATTCCTCTTGCAAACAGTTTACAAGATGCCTCTACAGCATCAGTCTTCAATATCTTTTAATTTTTAGCAGCCATAAATATTTTCTAGTGCATTTTGTGCAGTAAATATAAACATCTTGGTTAATAGCAATACACATAGCGTTTCTTCTGCAGAAAATAGTATTCATTTCTTATTTTATCATGTCCAAAATCTTTGTAGATGACCTCAGTGTGAACTTCTTTTTCTTTTGACATACCAGCTTTTTTTCCTCATGATTTTGATGCTGAGTTCTGTAGAACTAACTCTACCTGGTGTAGAATTTGGTGAGCCATGTAAGCTGTTACTGTCCTAGGTACTATATTGGTAGACTTCTCTAACTGAATCAATGTAGTTGAAGATGTTGCTGGAATAGAGGACAGACTATTTTTGGATTTAAAACTTTTCAGCTTCTCTCAGTCCTAGCCCCAGCTGCAGCAGCAGGATTTTTAATAGAAAATTATTTAATGTGTGAAAATAATCTGGGCATGTGGTGTTCCTGTTCTGGCAGTATGGGAAAACTGTATGTTCAGCCTTCTTTAATGTCCCTACTACCTATGTTGCAGATCTTTTTCACCTTGAGTGATGTTTCAAGGATATATGTTAATACATAGCAAGTGACTCTTACTTTAGGCAGCAGGAAACAGGACATCACTGCTGGTTACCTTATGTTGAGATACAGTTTAGCCAGTATTTGTTTAATGTCTCAATCTTAGATGTTTTACTGACATTATTATTGCTACAAAGAGCAGATGCTATGATGAAGTAGAAATTTTTTAAAATGTAGGAAGGGCTTAGAACATACAAGCAGTATGATCAAGGAAGTTGTGTGGGTTTGGGGTGGGGTTTTTTTACATAAGATATCCTGTGTTGCCTGAATCTTTTCCTTACTAGTTTTTCCTACTGGAATAACTTAATGAAGAAGTTGAATTATCAGGACTAAAAAATATTAGTTGAAGTTTAATTGTTTTATTTTAATAGCAGGTTCCTCACCTAGTTCCAGTAGCAGCTCCTCTGTTAATCCAATGGCTTCTCTTGGAGCTTTGCAGACACTGGCAGGTGCTACAGCAGGCCTCAACGTTAGCTCTTTAGCAGGTAAGTTATGTGTCGTGCCAGCTTGGGGGAATAGCTGATTCTCATTCCTCAGCCTGTGATAGCTCTCTGCGGTGATTTTTTTGCTCCCTGCTTTTTGTAATTTTGCAGAGCATTTGAAAGGTTATTGATCTGGCTCAGTGGAAACACTCAGTCAGCTTTTATTTCCTCTTTCTTATACAGGAATGGCAGCCTTAAATGGAGGACTTGGCAGTGGTGGTCTCTCAAATGGGACAGGTAGCACAATGGAAGCCCTCACACAGGCTTATTCTGGAATCCAGCAATATGCTGCTGCTGCACTGCCCACACTCTATAACCAGAGTCTCTTAACACAGCAGAGTATTGGTGCAGCAGGAAGTCAAAAAGAAGGTAGGCAGAAAGTTGTAGAAGTTACTTGAGACGGGTTTTCAAAAGGGCAAGCTTAGCCCTTGCACCTTCCTTGCCTGCAGATTTTTTTATTTGGCGTCATTTCTTAGAATCCAGGAGTTACTGAAGATTAAAAAGGTCTGTGGGATCTTTCTGCTATGGGCTGCCCAAAGTAGTTTTTATATAGGGTGTTTCTCATGGGATTTGTCTATTCTTAAGTGCTTCCTTAATTATACTCCTGCATGTTCTCAGAGGGAAGGAGAATATGAGTCCACAGCCTGATAGATCGCACTGTCAGAGAATCAGATGTGGTTTTGTTAATGTTGTTTTCTGGATCCTTCACCTCTTCCAACAGCTACTTAATGGCAGTCTTTTCACTCTTCAGATTCAGGTTAAATGTAATGTAATGTACAATGTAGGAGTACGTTTTCAGTAAAATGTAGCATGTTTAGAAGAGAATCTGTCAGATTACAAGCAATGTGATTATTTGTATTTTGTTTGGAAATTTACTTAGTTGCTTTGGGACCACAGGTTTTGCATATCCATTTTTTTGTTCAGTCAACATCTAGCACTCCAACTTTACTGTTCAGCAGTCATTACAGCAAATATCTGTGAACCAGTTTTGACACAATATGTAAAGTACAAACAAAAGCGGTCAGAAAGAGCTAGAATTATTTGAGTGATCAATCCCAGCAAAGGGTCATGCTCATTTATTCTGGAATCAAGTGCTCTGCAGGACTGTAAACAGTAGTTTCATTGTTTTATCTAGAAAATTTGTCTTGACTGGCTCTTCCACCTTTTTTTGTGCAGTGGGTATGTGGTATCCATGCTCTTTCTGAATTTATTTTTCTACTTGTTTGAAGGTCCAGAGGGAGCCAATCTGTTTATCTACCATCTTCCCCAGGAATTTGGGGATCAGGATCTGCTGCAGATGTTCATGCCATTTGGAAATGTCGTCTCTGCCAAGGTTTTCATTGACAAGCAGACCAATCTAAGCAAGTGTTTTGGTATGTTGGATCTACAGCTTCCTTTGAGGGGAAGCACTGGGACAGACATTGATCTCTTCTCTCTGGTGACCAGTGACACGAGCTGAGATAAAGGCCTGAAGCTGAGTCAGGGGAGGTTTAGGTTAGATATTAGAAAAAGGTTTTTCACCCAGAGGGTGCATGGGCACTGGAACAGGCTCCCCAGGGAACTGGTCACAGCACCAGCCTGACAGAGTTCAAGAAGTGTTTGGAAAGTGCTCTCAGACAAACAGTGTGATTCTCAGGGACTTCAGTGATCTTTGTGCATCCATTCCATCTCAGGATATTTTGTTATTCTAATAAATCATTGTCTGTGAAAAGGTGACTTTCATAGTACTCTTTTTCAGTATATTGTCTAGTCTAGCTATTAACTAAGTAGGGAATCTCTATATATTCCTAATAAATAAATAAACCAAATGCTTCCAGCAATAAACTGTATTTTCCTGATTTTCAATGTGACTTTTTGCTTTTCACGATTTCATACTATCGTGCCCTATTACAGTGTTCTGGCCCTAGATATTTCTCACTGAGATTAACTCAGTTGGTTAGAGCACTGCACTAATAATGCCACGGTTGTGGGTTCAATCCCCTTTTGGGCCATTCACTTAGGAGCTGGATTCCTTGATCCTTGTGGATCCCTTCTAACTCAGAATGATATGTGATTATTATTTGTGTTTGCAGACTGTAATCCTGAGAGAGTTCTTCTTGCCTCTTCCTATCTTTTCAATACTTGCAATAATAATTTGTATATATTACTTAGCACATTATGATTATGAATTGTTTCTCTTAATATCTTTATAGATATAACTATTGTGGGTACCACATTGCATTTTTGTAGTGCCATAACCTCTCATGACTGTTTTGATAGGTGGAGATTTCTTGTGATGGAATGGGAGAGGCACGCCTTTCTCTATGGTTTTGATAGCTTTGTGTCTACATAAAATCCTGAATTTTTTCTTATTTCAGCCAAAAGATGTGGACAATCTGATGCTTTGTGAGAGCACAGAAATATGCTGATCATTCAGCTATAACACCTATATATGGACACATTGCCATTGACTGGAGTGGGAGTTATTCTCGCTTCAGACATTGAGTGGAGTTATTTAAAATAGGCTCCTTCAAAACACTGGAGAAGTTTATTTTCAGGATAATCTTTTCCAGGAATGATGTGTAACCTTCCATCTGAGAGCAACCTAAACACAATAGTGGTGCCAGTGCTACCCTTCCTTGGCAGCTATTTCACTCCAAACAAATCTTCTCCCATAGTGTCATGAGGGTGGTTTCCACCTTGTATCTTTAATGAGCTTTTGCATCTGGATGAACATTTTCCAGGTTTGGTTTTCTCCCAGGTATGAGTTCTTATAAACAGCAGTACTTATTTTGTTGATACACTAAAACATGTTGATTTCCTGAGCTGTATATATCTTCTGGCCAAAGTTCCATATGTCAGAAACCAATGCATTGTTTGAGAGCCTTTAGAAGTTATTATGAGGAATCTGAAACAGTTGTGAGCTTCTGAAAGTGGCACTTCATGCAGTCCTCTCTGACCTTGTGAGTGCCTGCATTTCCATTTGTGAGTAGCCATTACATGCAGCTCTGGCACGGGGTAATTGTGTGTTTTCCTCTCCTCAGGTTTTGTAAGTTACGACAATCCTGTCTCTGCGCAGGCTGCCATTCAGTCAATGAACGGCTTCCAGATCGGCATGAAGCGGCTGAAAGTACAGCTCAAGCGCTCCAAGAACGACAGCAAGCCATACTGAGCACCCTCCCCTCCGGGACTGGAGTGAGAAGGATCTTCTGGTAAGTTGGAGAGGAGCGCACTTAGTGATTCGAAGCCCTAAGGCTGTGTTTTTACAGTCCTGGAAGCTGATCCATGCCTTCTATCTGGCACATCTTCCCTTGAAGACTCTGCTGCAGCCTCTGCTGAGAATCCCGCTTCGGATGGAGGACAAGTTTGTGCTTTTGTTTCCAGTGTTTTACTTTGGAGTTTAGGTGCCATATCGCTGAGGTTTTTTTGTTTAGTTTTGTTTTTTTTTTTCCTCCCTTAATTGAAGTTTGCTGTGTTTGTAACCAGTGTGTGTTGAGAAGGACCAATGCCAGCTCCTTGGGGGTGGGGAGAGAAGGTTAAAGGGAGCAGCAGAAACTGACACCACACTGCCTTGGGGTAGAGAGGAGAAGGGAAAGCAGAAATAACGCAGAACAGCTGATGAAAACAAAGATGGGCAAGGAGAACAGAGTCCTGGGTGAGAAAGAACTGACTCCATGTAGCCTTTGTCATGCCCCATCTGCTCTTTGAAATTTCCCTAACTGTGTGCCATGGTGGGGATTTAATAAATCATCTCTAAAGCAGTAGACGGGCTAAAAGGGTGAACACATTATCAAGCCAAAGGAAAACTGCAGTGATTTTTTTTTTCTTTGCTGTATGTAAACTAGGGTCTATATAGCAGTGTGAATGTACACAGCACTTTATAAAACTATTAGATAATGTCTCTGCCCAGAAAATTTCACTCTCTGTCTACAGTGGAATATTAATGAGATGCAGTGAATTTCTCCATGTATAAGAAAACTTAACCTATGTACTTCATCTAGATTTTGTGGAAAGGTAGAGGCAGCTTAGTCTGGATGAATACATCTGGGTCTGGAAACAATAAACTTTAGATCCCTGGTAACCTGCAGAAATTTTTGACAATTTTTCTTTTTAACAGTTGATCACATTGCCCATTTCTGTGGAATAATGTCCTTTTTTTGCAGAGATTGCTATGAATTCCTTTTCATAAGCATAATGTAAGCGCTCATTGTTTATTGAAATGATAACTTCCTGTTTTGTTGGGGTTTTTTGTTGTTTTTTTTTCATGAACAAAATTCATGCAGTGACTTGGTCTAGTAATTAGGTGTATCTCTCTGCTGCAGTTTTCCTTTAAGGTGGTGTGTACCAGTGCAAAACAGGCTAAACCAGGAGCTGTGGAACCAGAGTACTGAGCCATTCAGTCTTTTTCTGCCTTTTGGTACAAGCTGTTACCTTTTATATTGAAGGAAAATGGAATGCACCCCTTAACTGAACACACACTTTTTCTGCACACCAGTGAAATTGCTAGTGCATTGCTAAGGGCCTTTGGTATTCACTGGTTTAGGGGGCTCAAAGGACTTTTGACACTCTGGCCTGAGCTGTTTCGAGACATCTTTGTAGAGTTCCATTTTATAACCACCAAAATCCACCTCTGTCACAAGAGGAAGTTTACAATTTCTGTATCTTTAACAGAAGTTCAATTTACCTCATAATATCTCTTTTTCCTTGTTTTCTTTGTATCCCTGAGTAGTAAGGCTGTTTCCCAGGGCTCCAGCTAACACTGCAGTCTGGGAGCCAGCTGCTAAATGATGTGTGTGGGTCAGACGTGGGGTCAGGACTTCGTGTTCTGCTCCAGCAGGAGGAGCACTGAACCCATCAAACCTGAGATCTTGGGTCCGAATCCCCACTTGTGTGCCGTGATCTGTTGGGAATCTTGGGCATTTCCAGGGACTAGGCCCCCTAGGATCTCAAACCTCAGAATTACAAGGCCTGATAGGTAACATCCAAGGGGAGCCCTTTCCAGTTCTTAGATTGAAAATCAAGCAGTTAATGTCAGTCTGTCCATATTGATGGCAGACAGATAAATCTGTCAGTATTATTTAAATAATTTTGTGGTGGCAAAGTTTCAAAGGCCAGATTGCCAAATTTCCCAGTTATGCTGGCATGTGGTACCTTTCTATGTTAATTATTTGAATCTCTCTAGAAACGTAAACATACACTGAAGTGAACCATGTACACTTGAATTCTGCACCATAGGAAAGATGTGTCCTGGTTTTCTGAGAAAAGAGTGTTGAAGTGTGAAGGCCTCCAGGGTGATAATGGGATTTTTTATATATATATATATAAATTATATACTTTTCAAAAAAAGGAAAAAAAAAAAAAAACATAAAAAACCATAGTTGGGAGCAACTGCTCCAAGTGCAACCTGCTGTAACCAAGAATGTTGTTTCTATTTTTATAGAAGTTTTATACCGCTCCAGGGTGGAGAATATTTATTACCTAAATTATTTCACTGGAAAAAACGGCCAGGGTTTTGTAGAATCCTGAATGTGATTGTTTTACACACATAATGATGTGCATGATTGAAACTACTGATTTTCAGTGGCCTGTTTGCAGCCCAACAACTGCTAAACGAGGAAGATGAATGCTGTGAACCAGTGGAGGAGAGCACTGTGCTCTGGGGTCTCTACAGTCACTCTTACCTTCTTTGCATCCTACCCCACTGTACTATCCAAGACCTTTGTCCTGTTTTTCTTTTAACCTGATGCTCTGGCCTCTTTACTAGTCATTTCATTTGCCCAAAATTAGATATTTTAGCTTCTTCATCCTATACTGTGTCCTCAATACTGTAACTTACAGATCAAGCTTGGCATTGTTGCAAATAGGTGCAACTCCTGTTAATTTGAGGAGATTCACCAGTTTACACTGTGGCTTAGTTTGATCAGTGACTCCTCCCAGACATAATCACCTTAAGACACCTAACTTGGGCTAGCTCTTGTGCCTTACTGGCGTAACTATAAGTATTGCCAAAAAGAAAAAGAAAATAAATCTATGCAGGTTAAATTTTAAAAGATGTGATCCTCAGATGGTTTGAATCAATGCAGTTCAGCTCTCTGAATGCAGTAGAGCTGCATCAGTTTTCACCAGCTGAAGATGTTGCCCTTTTTGTGTATTTGTTTCAGATTTCCCTTTCTTGGTGTATCAATGTGTATGTTGCCAAAGTTAATAAATGTATCAAGTTTGTGACTTGGGCAGATTTTTTTTTCTGATAACAAAACTGATCAGATAAAGTCAACATTTCTCTGTGTCTGTTTGGTGGCTGCTGCTGATTGTGGGGATTTAGGCTGCTCTTGCCTTTCAGTCTTAAGCCAGTTTTCTTCCTCACTTATTAGCAGGAAAATCTGGGATTCTGGGAACTTGGGGCTTTTAAATTTTTAGTTCATATCATGCTCTCATTCAAGTGCAAATGAAATCAGTGTCAAATACTCTATTTCCTGGATAGTAAGATAAGAGTTGGGGGAGTTCAAATAAACTGCAGAAAGTTGGCTGAAGCAGCCACATGGACAAAGTATGCTATATGCTTAAAGCCAAAGAACCTCATTTTCTACAAGAAAAGCTAAAAGAACTTCTGATGAAATATAATTCCTTATTACGTGTGCCACCAGGAAATACTTAAAATATTTTTAGTTTACTGCGTGGAAATCGTCTACTTCATAGATTTCTTCTTTTTCCGAGGAGATATTTGATTTTACTGATGTAACAAGGTGAAAGAATTATGAACTTAGCCTGATACTACTTAGTGTCAGTAGTATAGTAAATGAAATCATCATTTCTTCAGTCCCCTAGATAATCAACAGTTCCAAATAGGATAGCTCCTTGTAGTTTAGCTTTTTTATAATACAAAGCTGGCATTTTTAAAAAAATCCAGCTCAGAAGAATCTCACTGGCAAATGCATCTACCAGGACATTTCACCTGAATACTGAAAATCACATATTATGATAATTCTGTCATGCAAGCTGAATCTAACTGAACTGGTAATGGCTGTGGATTAGGGAAGAACAACAAAGCAGAACGAATTTGTTCCTATTTTATTTGGAAATACCTAAAACCAACTTTGATAAATGAAATTGCAAATGAAGGGTGCAACCATGAATAGGTAAAATGCTTTGAAAACTTCTTGGTGCAGACATTTAAACATAAAGATGTTTGATATCCCCAGCATACCTGCCACCAAATATAAAACACAGAAGGCAGAATTATCATGATTGTGAGAATAAAACAAGGACAAACTGGAAAAGCTTTCTTCAAGTCATTAAGACCTCGTCCAGCATCTCATGATTCTGATTTTATAGGCCAGTCTTTCCATAGGGCTTTGATAAAACTCAACATAGCTGGGAGAAATATTTGAAAAATCCATATGAAGAAAATCCCCAGATAAATCACACAGAGGGTACCAGTGGTGCATGCTAAGATGTCACTTGATTTCATGCTTCTTGTTGTTTCTCATGCCTCAGTTCATGATGAATTTGCTTTTCTGGTTTAAGAGTGAAATCTGCAAATTATCTAGAGTTTTTCTTGAAATATAGAAACAAGTGCAAAAGTTGCATTGTACTCTGTTTGCTGGAGTTGGTTTAAACTCTGTACTAAAGTCCTTTCCCTTTATTGGAAAGCATGAAAAGCAAATTAATCTAAGCAGTTCTAATAAGAGTGTTGCTGATTTAGTAGACAATGTGTTTCTTGTTGCTTTGGAACAAGAATGCAACACTTGCTATTCTCAAATTATGTTAGATAATATGCAAATCTCACCTTGTTCTAGTCTGTAACCAGAAGCTTTGAGATGTGCTGAAGATTAAGGCCACAAACAGGAGCTAAAGGGGAGTTGGGGGAGGCAGAGTGGGGAGGCAGAATAAGAAAACAAACCATTTCCTCTCTCTTCTGCCTCCCACTCTCATCTCAAAATACTCCTTGTCTCTTGCAGTTCACAAGCTGAGGGGAGGGAACAGAGGTATTTATGTCACTTAATGTAAGAATTATTTTTTAATAAACGCTTCAAGAAAATTTCAGGAAACACATTTTTTCTGCTCATCAAACTGGCAACAGTGACTGTAGAGCTTCTCAGAGCCCAGAATCTCCTCCTTGTGAAGCCAGGGAGCTGAGGGCTGTTACATAAAAGGTTGGGAATGGAAAATCCCTGTGCAGGTCTAATGGTATGACAAGTGCTCAGCTAGGACAAGTCTTAACTTGCAGTCAAGTCTTAAGGAATTCTTCTCTGATGTGTGAGCTTTTTGTCTTGTATAATCTTTTTTTTTTCCCTTTTCCAAATCACCCACCCCCAGTTACATGGGCTCCTAGGGAATGAGAAGAGACTGTAGCTAAAGGAAAGAACGTGGATTTGCTGGGCTACTACTGCCTAAGAACTTCCCATGTTAGAGTGCAAGAAAAGTCTCAAACGTCAAACCACCTGTGAATCCCTTGTGTCCTCTGTCTTGTCTCTCATGGTCTCAATCTCTGTGGGCAAAAATGTTTGCCCTGGAGCCATATTTTTTGGAATCGGTCTCCTGGGGAGGGAGTTTACTCTGTTCTAAACAGAGGTAGTAGACACACTGGGCACGGGGCAAGGTGACTGCATTCTAACCAGTGTGTCACTAGGCTATGGAATGCTCCCCAGACTGGGTGCTGAGAGGGAAATCCAGGCCTCTGCTTCCATTTGGTTTCTGGCAGTTTGATGTTTACTTGGTGTCTTTCATGTACTTTGACTTTTACTTGTCCATCGTTGGCATGTGCTGCCCTTCCCTGTCAACTCCCTTCCCCAGGAGATCTCATTGTACAGTGCCCATTCTTGTTCTCTCTCTCCGTGTTTGGATGTACTGCTCTGTGTAACTCAGTGGGTCTCCCTCTTTCTGGTTTGTTTTTTTTTCTAGATTCCTGCCGTTTGTTCATCGTTGTGCCTAAAGCATGTCGATGTGGCGTTCAAGTACATCGTCCAAATCCTTGTCTCTTCAGCTTCTCTGATGCTTGAACTCTCACCTTTGACCTTGTGTTGACCTTTGATGCTGATGTGTATTTTTATTATGTTTGTTTCTTTTCTTTTTTTTTTTTTTTTTTTTTTTTTTTTTTTTTTTTTTTTTTTTGTGCTGCCAAATTGGTTTTGCTAGAAAGACTGCTGAAGGGGAATATTTAAACTTGCATTTGAATATAAAAGAATTTCTATTTTTCTAGACCTTCGTAAGATAACCACTTGATTTTGTGAATCTGATTCTTTGTAATTTGTCTTCAGAGCAGCCTTGCTAGCATACCTTGTGGAGTATTTGTATTTCTGTGAACATACAGCCAATCACTTTCTAGGCTTAGTTTTTTCTGTGTGCTTAGTTTTAAAAACACAGTTCGAAGAAAAAGTCAATTATATGGTGTGACTCAATCTTTCAGGAGACTTCCTAGTCACATTTTGCTGATCTGGTTTCTGTGCTTGAGGAGACAGCATGTGTTTTTATGAGTTCAAACTTGTGACTTGAAGTGGCATCAACAGAAAACACTTGAACTACGTTTTCCTCTGATTGTAGCTACATTTTTGCCCTGACATTTACTGGGATTTTTTTTAATTATTATTTTTATTTTTTCCCCTGCTTCCCTGTGTGATTATCAGTCTGCAGTGAAAATTTGATCAAAATTGATGTTGTATTTTGTTAAGCTCTGGCATGCTTGGGTTTTTTTTGTAACTACAATCTCCTCAGCAAAATGTGATGTTTTTGTTTTAATCTTTCAAACTAAGATAGTGCCCAGAAATGTTGTGCATGTTTCCTGCTGTTTTCTTCACACCCTCGTATATATCACCTTCACCTCTCTGTTTTCTATAGTTTGTGCAAAAACTGAGCAATTTAATGCGTTTCAAAGGTATCCTTTAAATTGGTGGTTTTGGTATGACTAATATCTGATCGGAAGCCACCTGAGGGCATCTACCTGTGCACTTAGACTGTCTGCCTGACAGAGCACCTGGACCTTGCTCCATCTCCAGCGCTGTCAGAAGCTCTGAGGGTGCTTGGTTACACTGTTCCCCTAGTGGAAGTTTTGATGGAAGGGGATAGCTGGGAGCAGGAAGGTGGGGGAACTCACAACATTTCTGTTTCCAAAGCTGTCTGAAGCTAGGGCTCATTTCAAACACTGAGCATTTTGCACAACTCAGGGCACATTTCTGTGAAGTCCAGCCCCAGTCTAATACCATCAGAGTTTGGTGGCAGGATTCTGGAAGGATCTAGGTTAGCTCAAGAAATAAAGTGTTTTAAATTTCCCAGAGAAAGCATTTGTAACACTGGTCCTACAACTGCTGGCTCTTTTCCCAAATGACAAGCACAATACAACAGCCTCTGAAGCTGTTACCTGAACAGGGTACCATCCCCAGCTCTCTTTTCAAGGGCCTTAGCTGGGGAATCTCTGCGGAGATTTTTTTAGTTTTTGTTTCATTTTTAATTGGGTAATGAGCTGAGCAGTTCTGATGGCTTGCAGGATGAACTAGAACAGGTTACTGCTCTCTGGGTAGCAGGCTTCCCCTGCCCTACGTACCATCTGCACAGGTAGAAACTGGGAAGTAGCTTCTAGATGAAGGCACCTGAAGAGTGTGTGCTGTGATGAAGTTTCAGTCAGAAGCAGCAGCAAGCTAGTGTAAGTATCTTAATAGTTGAAATAATGTGAAATGGAATTCCAGGAGAAGGGTTTTTGCTGAGAAAACAAGTAGAGTTTGACTGGATAGAAATCTTAATTTTGTCCAGTGTTTGGGATAATGTAAAGATGCAAAGATTGTTTTCTGTCCTACTCCTGAGTTGGTTGAGGATACTGTATTCTCACTAGGTGTTGACCAGACTTGTGTAGACAGTCCTTAATCTGCTTACAAAAGAGAACAATTTGAATATGATACATGTACCTGGGAGTGAATCGTGAGGCTGAATGAAAAAGGGTAGAGACTCATTTATTTGGGAAGTAGGGTTGGGGGCTGGCTGCTGTTAGTCCCACAGTCTGAATGCACAGGGCTGTGTGCCAGGGGGCACTGATGGCCTGCAGTGTGTGGAGGAGCTGCCAGTACGTTTCTGTACATGTGCGTTTGGTTCCGTAAGGAACCTTGGGGAAACCTGTGGAAAAATATCTGAAGAAAACCAAAATGCCAAATGTTGGGTGTTTCTTTCCTTTCTTCTTTCCTTTTCTTCCTTTGGTTGTTTTAATTGTTCTGTGGTGGTTTTAATGGATTTGAGACAGTGGAGCAGCAGCTGCCTTTCTGATTTTTGGCTGCTTTTTGTGAATAATTTAAAAAGAAAATTTACATTTTGGAGACAAACCTGTGGGCTTTTTTATTGGTACAAACATTGTATTTAACACTAGGGGTTTTGTACAGTTTTTTGCCTTTTCTACTAGAAAACAATGTAAAGTGATTCACAATGTGACGAGAAAACAAATTGCCACTATGACCAAATGTAGAGTCTGTTCTGCAGTTAACGGGATTTAATCAACTCGAAGTCGTGGTTCAGTCGTAGAAATGCTTTTCTTTACCTTGTTTGAGCTGTTCCTTTTTTTCTTGTTTTGATTTGCAAAACAAATTGTCTTTTTGTGTGAAATTGTGTTGTACTCTGTAGAGAATTACAGGTTTTACTTTAATGGTTTAAAAAGCAGAGGAGCGCGTGTTGCTTTTCTGATCTGATCACAGAGTTTGTGTAGTGGATTTAAAAATGAAAAGATTTGTTACAAGTTTGGAACAAGCGAGTATGTGTTAAAGGAATTTTCTTCCTTTTGTGTGTGTGTTTTTTTTCTTTTTGTCCCAAAGGGCAACTTAAAGCTGTTTTAATTGCACAGACACACCGACAACAAGTCATTTTGTATATGCCAAGTGTGGTACCTTCCTTTGTTTATTTGCTATTAAACTGTTTGAGAAGAGTCCTTGTGTGTTGTATTTGTGTCTTAAACTTGAGGTTCTTTTTGGGGTCCAAGTGTGAGAACATGAAGAGAAAGATGAGAGAACTAACTATTTTACAGTTTCTCAGCTGTGAGACACAAAGATATTCATGGCCCAATACCCCTTGTTCTGGATGTATAATATCGCCCTGGGCTTTTACTTCTGTGTAAATGAGCTACTCTGAGTGGAAATGGAAGAGGTTTTCTGGTTGATATACATCCATTTTGATCATTTGACAGTCCAGTCTCCTTTAGATACGGAAAAGCTGAGGATCTTGGATAATGCACATATGTGCAACACTTGGGAGTGAGGAGCAGGCATATCCAGCCTCACGGAACTGGTGCCATGCAGCCACTTGCCTGTGCATGCACTGGTGCGTCAGGGTGTTTCAGGAGCTCAATACCTTGGGCAGAGCAGCAGCCCTCAGCTCTGTAGGAGCAGCACCAGTGCGTGGTGCTGTGTGGGATTAGAGAGGCACCAGCTGATGCCACTCTCACAAGCTGCACGCCTTCCCCTTCCAGGAACACAGCCAAGCTGCCTGAATCTGTCCTGGTTCTGCAGCATCAAGGTACCATCAAGGCAGCCCTCAGTGCTCTTCATCCTGGAAGTGCTACACAGGGAAACAGCAAATGGATTTGGATTACTTACTAGTGATAAGCAAAGGCTACCTGCTTTGCTCTTAGTACTAAGATCTTTTATGATGTCTCACTTCAAATTAATAAAAAGTATTTGGCATAGCCAAAGCATTTAGAAACCTGCCACAAGTTTGACACGAATATTGCCTCTCTCAGAAGGAAAGTACCACAATGGCCTTGATTTGGTGCATTTTTGAAAGCTCCTAAAATTTCCTGATGTTATTGCTTCCTTCTGCTGGCCTGCATCTTGGAGACTTGCAAGCGTTTTTGGGACAGCTATGTTTCTCCTCCATGTCCTTTTCCTGTGTTATCTGGGATACTCTATTTCACCCCATCACTTCCTACATGACTGTAAATCCGAGAGCACTTGCAAAGCATCAGGATTCAGTGCTGCATTCCTTGCCCTGAGCGCACCAATTGCGGCACAAGGCACAGAGCCACCTGTTACAGACTGTGCTGGGATCCCTGCAGTTAATTTGCAGCTGTTGAGGAAAGAGGCTGGAGGGATTTCAGTTTAGATACAACTTGAGACCAAGGATGGAGAGAAACAATTGAAACAGAAAAAGGGTTTGTTTAGGCTGAATGGAAGATTCCAGCTTGTGCAGAAATTTCGCTCACCTTGTCTTACACAATCAAAGCTCTGCCAGCTGCATCTTACAGAACTGACACCAGATCACTCTTGGGTCAGAGGTTTTTTGGTTTTTTTTTTTAAGGCTTTTTCTTCAACTTAAAAGGCCACCACCAATCTGTACACAATCAAACTGCACCTAAAAGCCAGTATATTAATCTCTGAAAATAATCAGCATTTTCACATGAGTTGTTACATTTATCAGCATTTGTAGGAAATACACCAAGTTGTAGATGAAATCCTGATGCTGAATGTTCTAGGAGAAACCTTTTTCCTCTCACATCCACCTCCACCTTTCACTATGTGTTTTGACTACAGTCTTCCTGACTTTTCCTGCCACGTTCTGCTCTCTTCATGCAGCCAGGAGTCACCAGGGGCATTATGGAGAGCAGGGGGGAGGAGGAGAAGCAGGTCAGTGAGGTCTCTCTGAAGAAGTGAGTGCGTGATGAGTCACACTGCGTGTATGGCAGGTAAGGTTTCCTTATTTGATGTTGCCAAGCACCATTCAGGCTCATTTATTTGCACTTCCTGAGGAGAAACTGTGGATTATTAACTGTAGAAGCTGTACCTGAATCTTGAATGAATTACAGCTATCTTGAGCTGCAAACAGATGCCATTGCTTTTTTTCAAGTAGTACAGGCAGGCAGTGTTGATCTTTTATCCCTCCTTATTTAGGCAGCTGCAGCTGGGCTCAGAGTGGTATGTTCCATATCAGAGCATGTTCCTGGTTTTTTGAAAATGACCCATTTGAACTTGATGGATTTAGCCCTTATTTTACTAGGGTGTTTTTATCTCAACAGGTGAGTTGCGAATTGATTCCTAAGAAACTAAGCACTTGTAGTAGTGCTCAAAAGCAAGGAGGCAAAGTGAGGTTAACAGAATGCAGGGCAGATCATCTCCTGTTAGATAGGTTTTGTCAGGCTGCAAGGCACCCTCTTCATTTTGGCTATGCGGTGTGGGGAAGGGAGCAGTGCTTTACTGACATGGTCTAAAAGAATCTTAGGATGAGTTTGAGTTACAGGCAGCTCATTTGTGGAAGGTTAATTTTGCAAAATAGTCTGATCTACCAAGAATGATGTCATTTTTGTTTTCCCCATCCCTGACTCCTGGCTGATTCTGTTACAGAGCAGGCTCCAAGTGGCTATTTTATGGCCTCTTAACTTCTCCCAAGTCTAGAAATCTGAATGGCCTCACCATTGTCAATGCTTTCCATGGGGACTGATCTTCTGCATCTTGTTGCCATCCCATCACCTACATCTAGAGAAACATAAAAGAATTACTGCAAGGAAGAGAGATTTTCTAATATTCTGAATCAGACTTTTTTGCAAGTCCTAAAATCTACCAACTACCTAGCTAATAATTTTAACAATGCTGCTGAAGTGATTTTCGCACATTACCCAGCAGTGCCTCACCATTAGTTTTCTTCAGCTTCTGTAGATTTTTCCATAGTTTCTACTTCCAGAGTTTGAGACTACATATAGTCTATGCTGAAATATCATCTAGCACATTGCATCTCTGAAAAACAAAGCTAAGTTAAATAATGCAAATATCATAGTGTGTATGAGCTCCCAAAAGAGAATCAGTCTTATTGTAGCAAAACCCTTCTACAATTTAAAGTGTTTTTCTTTTTGAAATACTTTTCTGAGGGAATTTTGGGTAAAGGACAGATGTAATCCCTTAAGATCATGACTGCTATGATGTAAAGCCTCTGGGTAGACTATTATTCCTTATTTTGCATCCTGCTTTCCTTAAGGATATTACCTCAGGAAGGCTCCCTTGGGTTTTTGTTGACAGACCAGGATAGTCTGATTGGTACCCTTTGATGTGATTCTGTAGGTATTGACCTTTGCTTGGGGAAGAGCTGCTACCAAATTCACCAAGAAGCAGGGAGGCAGCTGGAGACATGACTGGTTTTGCAGGCAGGTCTGTTAAAACTTCAAATTGCTTCTCTTTGCCCAGTTAAAGGATCACAAAACTGGTTCTTGGAACTTCTACATCTGAAAAACATTCAATATCCCTGTAGCATTCTCCACCTGCTCCCCTCTCCCCAGGTTTGGTCTATCTTCTTAAGAAGGACTGAATAAATCTCTGGACCACCAAGGCTGCAGCACATTGGTGAGAGTATTAAATGTGACTCCTAGAGGAAGCCATCTGCAGTGTGGGAGACATAAACCTATCTTTTAATGAGGTTAACACTTCTCTCCTGCAACAAAAAAGTGCAGATACCTGTTGTTCTGTGTCTTTATTGTTATTCATCATAAAAGATCATCAAGTTCTGGATGCAGAACTTAAACAGTGCCATTGACTTCTGCTGGAAACTTTTGGAGGACTGCCACTTTCATCTGATGACAGGGAGCGACATTCAGTCAAGAACAAAGGTTTCCAGGATGGTTACCTCCTGGTCCCTAAAATTAGGAAGTCAGAGGTGTATTTGCAGCAAATCTGTGACAGAGCTGACCTATGTCCATAAAAAAAGTCCATGATGCCAAATGAGGTCCTCAAAAGGGAGGCTGATTTTGTGCCTAGCAAAATATCAAGTACATTGTTGCAAGTGTAACACTGCACGTGTGTACACACTGAAGTTGCCTTGTTCACACCTGACTTTTAAGGCATATATTTTTCCTAAAGCTACTATTCCAGCTGAGTCTGCTTCCTCCCAAGCTAGCTCACCACCAGCAGTGCTTGTCTAAGGGGATGGCCAGAGAGGAAAGAGACAGCCGAGACATCCTGCGGCTGTGACTGCAGCCAATTGTCTCTCCCTGGGGTATTTATAAGCTGCATACTGGCGGGCAGGGGTGGGCAGTTGGCACCGTGACCTTGGGAGCTGGGGAGCCTGACTAGAATTCCTGGGAGCCACGTGAGCTGGACTGGCAGGAGCAGCTGCAGCCAATGGGGAGGAGACCAGCACTGGCTGTTCAGATTGAGTTTCACTCCTGAGGCTTGAGATTTTTCTCTTTCTCTCCCTGTCGTGCTTTTGCTCTTTGTTTACGGGATTGGACAGACGAATGCACTGATGGAGCCCTAGCAAGCAAGGTGTTTGCCTAGTGGATTTGGGATTTTGCTTTCAGTGCTGAGCAACCACTTCTTGCCATTGCCTACCACAGCTCCAGCCCCCTGACATGGCTGGGCTCTTACGGCTCTGGGCCCTCTGAGCACACAACCCGCCCCCTTCTAGTGGGGCATTTTACGTTGTGTTCTCTTGTAAGCACGTCCTTTTTGCTATCCTTAGAGGTTAGTGTATGAGGCTTTTTAATCCATGGGAGATGGGTCAGGACCAGACAAAGCAGCAGATAGAGAAAGGACTCCATCTTTACCAGTCTAATCAGACCGAAAAGGCCCTGCGAGTCTGGATGAGGGTTTTGGAGAAGTCTGCGGATCCTGCTGGCAGGTTTCGGGTTTTGGGTTGCCTCATCACTGCTCACGCAGAGATGGGCAGATACAAAGACATGCTGAAGGTAAGGTGAACTGGAGAAGAATGCATGCCATTGTGTCGCACCCACGCTGGAACGTGGCTGGAGAGCAGAACCTGAAGTGGGGGGTGTTTTGTGTGAAATGGAAAATACCAGCTATTGAGTGCATGTTCTGGTGTGATCACTGTGCTCACCAAGAGCTCCAGCCCACAAGATACACAGAATATGATTTTTCACTGGGTCTGGTTCATCAGGATTCCTGGGTTATTTAAGTTCTCCAGTTATTCATGGGAAGCTCTCTTGATTAT